CGTCTCTAGAGATGTGATCTGTAGAACTGGTGAGATGAGCACAACAATATGCATATAGGCATCAAAGTGATGATGATGATGATGATGTCATAAAGAGCATTCTAGAACTTGCTGTATGTCCTTTGATTACAGCAGATCTCATGGTAACATCCAAATAAATGAATGCATGCAGAATAAATCAAAATACAAATTTTGATCCTTCGATGACTTCATCATTGTGACAATATAAACTCACATACATGCGTGTTTACATATACACATTGTTTTACTAGGGGTGGAAGTTGATAAAAAAATGTGTCTAATGAATTAGAGGTTTTGTAATTAAATCATCTAAATAATCACATCTTAATCATTCTTGTAAATGTGCGCTCAAAGCAAATTTTTTAACTAAAAATAATCAGGCAGAGAATCAAACACTAGACATGGATATTATTACTGTAAACTCAAGCTTCATTTCTAAAAAATGCATTTTAATTTTTCAAATGTCACTTTGTGATATGAAACAAGTCACAAATCAACATAGATTAATAATTGCAAATAGAAAACACCTGAAACTGGTTCCTGGCCATATTTTACTTGGGGTGGGAGTTGATTCAAAATGTATCTAATGAATTAGAGGTTTTGTAATTAAATAATCTAAATAATCACATCTTAATCATTCAGGTAAATGTGCGCTCGAAGCAAAATTTTAAATTACTGAGATAAATGGACTTTTGCACCGTATTCAATTTTTTTCAATTTCACTTGTTTGTATAATTGGGTGTTTTATTTAGCATTTCTATTTCTCATAATGTAGTAAATGCATATCTAGAAATAAAAATCCTTAAAAATGAGACTTGAACAGGCACAAATATGATGGAGGACTTAAACTTTTTTAACGCCTGAGTGTTACAGGGGGACTAAAGAGATGATCAGCAACACTAACTGGTTCCAGTTGGATGACTGGAGGATGACCGGAAGATAAAAGGTCATGAAGAGACTTTAATGTTGCATAAATGTAAAAGAATTAGCTTACCTCGACTTTTGTAAAGCTCTCTAACCCTAACCCCCAAAAGGGTGTATGATGCTTGTTCAATCCCATTATCTTTTTTCAAGTTATGTGCCTACTTATTACTGTGTGGTGTAATAATGTCACTAGATAAATGAGCTTTCTGGCACAAATGCTGTTTAAAAGCTGGTTACTGAAGAGCTGAGCAGATCCATCAGGGTATAATGTGTCAGGGATTTAGAAATGTGGGTGGGGGGTGAACTGGAGCACCCAGAGAAAACCCCCCATGCAGCACAAAGAGACAGAAATAAATTGATCGGGTGATCTTTTTCCTGTGAGATAATCCTTGTGCTGCATTTTTTTATACTCCATGGTGGACGGAGTAGATCCTAGATAGAAACACCTCCTGACTGCATGTCTGACCCATAGACTGTACATACTGGACAAAATGATTCCATAGGCTCCAATAACACGTTTTTGGTCTATAATGGGAGGTGGCCACCACCGCCATTTTGACCGTGTCACAGGTTCCGTCCAGCCCAGGCAATTCCATAAAAGGGAAGAGAGGAGGAGCTGAGGGTGGGGCTGTAAGGCTGGGCTCGAGTGACGACACCCGTGCGAACTAGCTACGAGCTAACCTGAAGCTAACCCTGGCTAACCCAAAGCTAACGCGGAGGTGGGAGCCGAGCTAACGGATGTAGCCACATAGCTTCAACCCAACCGGCGCTAACTGGAACACCCATCGACCTGAACCTCACACGGAGTATAGGTGGAGGTTTTCGGCGCCTGTTCGCGACAAGTACCTGTATTAAAAAAGTATTGAATCGGTAAGTTTATAATTTATTTCCGTAATGAAAACATTTTGCTTTGAGCAAGTTTTCAGTACCGTATCTTCCGGGCTATCGCTCCTGAGTCGCACCAGCCATTAAATGTATAATGAAGAACAGAAAATATATTTGTCGTATTTTGGGGGGACATTTTATTATCTTTCTTACAAAATCTGAGACCAAGCGTTTCACATTGCAACACAAGCACCGGTAACCATAACAGAATGAACAGCCAGCAGAGGAGAGGATGGCGGTGTTTCAAACCCTCCCGGCCGGAGAGGAGAGCTCATTCCTGGGCTGGAGCCGACCCTCAGCACCCCGCCACAGGCTTTAACAGATGCTGGCGGTGTTTGAAACCCTCCCAGCGGGACAGGGGAAGTCATTCTTGGGTCGGAGTCGGCCCGCAGCAGACCCGCAGCATCGCGGTGTAGCCGTAGCCTACATATTTTGTTATATAAGTCGCTCTGGAGTATAAGTAGCAGGACCAGCCAGAATATGTAAAAAAGTGCGAGTTATAGTCCGGAAAATATGGCAGTTATTAGTATTCGAGCTAAATTAGCAGCCTAAATACATTTCATATATTTCCAAAATGTAATACTTGTTTGTATCTTGTACAGCCAACTAGCCTTTATTCTGGACTCAGTACAATTTACCAAAAGTACAGGTGCTGGCCAGTAAATTAGAATATCATCAAAAGGTTGAAAATATTTCAGTAATTCCATTCAAAACGTGAAACCTGTACATTATATTCATGCAATGCACACACACCAATGTATTTCCAATGTTCATTACATTTAAATTTGATATTTATAGGTGACAACCAATGAAAACATCAAATCTGGTATCTCAGAAAATTAGAATATTCTAAAGGCCAATGAAAAAATGTTTGTTTCTCTAATGTTGGCCAACTGAAAAGAATGAACATGAAAAGAATGTGCATGTATAGCACTCAATACTTAGTCGGGGCTCCTTTTGCCTCAATAACTGCAGTAATGCGGCGTGGCATGGACTCGATCAGTCTGTGGCACTGCTCAGGTGTTATGAGAGCCCAGGTTGCTCTGATAGTCGTCTTCAGCTCCTCTGCATTGTTGGGTCTAGCGTATTGCATCCTCCGCTTCACAATACCCCATAGATTTTCTATGGGGTTAAGGTCAGGCGAGTTTGCTGGCCAATCAAGGACAGGGATACCATGGTCCTTGAACCAGGTGCTGGTGGTTTTGGCACTGTGTGCAGGTGCCAAGTCCTGTTGAAAGGTGAAGTCTGCATCCCCATAAAGTTGGTCAGCAGCAGGAAGCATGAAGTGCTCTAAAACTTCCTGGTAGACGGCTGCATTGACCCTGGACCTCAGGAAACAGAGTGGGCCAACACCGGCAGATGACATGGCACCCCACACCATCACTGACGGTGGAAACTTTACACTGGACCTCATGCAACGTGGATTCTGTGCTTCTCCGCTCTTCCTCCAGACTCTGGGTCCTTGATTTCCAAAGGAAATGCAGAACTTGCTTTCATCAGAAAACATAACTTTGGACCACTCAGCATCAGTCCAGTCCTTTTTGTCCTTGGCCCAGGCGAGACGCTTCTTGCGCTGTTTCTTGTTCAAGAGTGGCTTGACACACGGAATGCGACACCTGAATCCCATGTCTTTCATGAGTCTCCTCGTGGTGGTTCTTGAAGCGCTGACTCCAGCTGCAGTCCACTCTTTGTGGATCTCCCCCACATTTTTGAATGGGTTTGTCGTCACAATTCTCTGCAGGGTGCGGTTATCCCTAGAGCTTGTACACTTTTTTCTACCACATTTTTTCCGTCCCTTTGCCTGTCTGTTAATGTGCTTGGACACAGAGCTCTGCGAACAGCCAGCTTCTTTAGCAATCACCTTTTGTGTCTTGCCCTCCTTGTGCAAGGTGTCAATGATTGTCTTTTGGACAGCTGTTAAGTCAGAAGTCTTCCCCATGATTGTGGTGCCTTCAAAACAAGACTGAGGGACCTTTTAAAGGCCTTTGCAGGTGTTTTGAGTAAATCAGCTGATTAGAGTGGCAGCAGGTGTCTTCTATATTCAGCCTTTTCAGAATATTCTAATTTTTTGAGATACCAAATTTGGAGTTTTCATTAGTTGTCACTTATGAATATCAAATTTAAATGTAATGAACATTGGAAATACATTGGTCTGTGTGCATTGCATGAATATAATGTACAAGTTTCACGTTTTGAATGGAATTACTGAAATATTTTCAACCTTTTGATGATATTCTAATTTACTGGCCAGCACCTGTAAAGAGACATTATACAGATGAAGTAAGCACAAGATAACTTACTGGAAGACACAGAATTATCATGAGAACCAGAACAAGAGAGCCTGATTACAGTCATGTGAAAATAACAGTTAAAAAGTATGTATGTATAATAGAAATAAAAATATATTAGAATTAGTGTAACTCACTGTGATCCAAACAATAAATCAGCCATAGCTGATTAGTAAATGTGACATGAGGTCTGGGAGTTTAAGTTTCATTCTTTTGTTACATTTTTTTCTTAGATCTGTTTAAAGGTCACCATGGCAGCCTGTGTGTCTCCAACATCAGCTACACAATGCAAGTGTAAGTTCCAAATACCTGTCTTGACCACTTCATGTATGGTTTTGTACTTTAAACAGCTTGGCCAAACCTGTTATTTTTTTCTCCATAGCCATTTTGATCATCGGTGACAGCTGAGTGAGGCGTGGTGCCCAGAGAGCTGCAGAGACCGGACAACCTTGGCCTCCCAGACGTCTGTGTCTCCTGGTTTGGTTGGGGCGGACCATCGACATACATACATGTGCCGACACTTTGCGCCCTGTTTTATAAAATGTAGTGTTAAAAAATAAATGTTTTTGCTCAATTACTGGAATTTCTTTGGTTAAGACAAAAGTGAGGAATAATCATTTACAAGTTATTTGTACAACAGGCCCATTTTAAATCCCAACAGTTTCTTGACAAAAGAAATGTGTTTTTTACCAACTTTACTTGGTTTAAAAATCTTACTAAAATAAACTTGAGTGCCATATTGCAAAACCCAATCATACTTGTTATGTAAACATTAGCTTTGTAGATATTTACAGATCTCTATGTGTGCAACAAAAACCAAACTTAAGTAATTTGTCATTTATTGAAAACAAAATACAGGTATACAGAAAGTGTGGGAAAATGATAATGTGAAAGTATTGCACTATAAATGTAATCCTATTTATCTTTAAAAAGAAAAACTCTAAAAATGTCCTGTACAGCATCATGACAGAAGAATGGTGGTCTGTCTGTCAGAATGTGCTGAACACATTTGCTCTTTGAAGAGGAGTGTCATGTTTGGAGGAAGGTACTTAACCCAAGACATGCAGAATACAACACTGACCAAAAACTGATGGAAAAAATGATTTATTTATAAGGAGGAACTTAAGGTGCACAGATAAGTCTGTGGTTGGAACTGCAACAACAGCTCAGCGTCTGGAGGAGGGAGAACACAGGTGAGCATAGGTTCTGGTTTCAAAATCCATTGTAGGCAGGCAGAGGTGTTCAGCAGACTTACTGTGGTGGGTGTATGTGTTGGCTGGAGGAGGGAGAGGTAGAGAGCCGGGGGAAGCGCAGGAGAGGGAGCAGAGGTGGAGAGAAGCGGGGCGTCCTGGTGGAAGGGGCACTGGGTGAGATGAGAGGTGGGTTATGGAGGGTGGTGATAAGGTCCGTGTGCTGAATATCCAAATCCTGGTCCGTGTGCTGAATATCCGAATCCTGGAGTAGAGGTCAGTATCCAATGAGGTCGACAGGAATCCTGAAGAATGGTAAATCCAATATAAGAGCATAACCACTACGAAATAACATTAATCCTAGGAACACTAGAGGTAACACGAGTGGCTAGTTACTACCAAAACTGAGGCAATCTTCTGGCGTCGAATTGTGTCCACCATCCACCTTAAATAGGAAAACACCCCGCTAATTGCTGATCAGGAACAGCTGGGCCACTCCCTCTCCTGGCAAGAGACTCACAGATGGTTAAGGGAACAGGAGTACTCACCCCGGCTCATGACAAGGAGCCTTAATGTGTACGAGGTTCCCCTTGAGTAATATTGGTTTGGGTTATGTATCGCCACATCAGCATGTAAATGCTGAACCAATCTGGAATAAAGACTGCTGATAGAGGATAAACAAGTAAATAAGAGGAAAAATTAATACAACTAGCAAACCAACATAAAAACAGCAACCAGCAGCTGCACCTGTGAAGAAACATTTCTAAGAATCATCAAGAAAACGTGGGATGAACAACTATAAACATGTAAACCATGAACCACAAACATCATGAACAACAAACATCGACAAGCATGTGTTCGTGCGTGTGCTGGGATGTGAAGTGTTAGACCGGATCAGGTGCACTCTGGAACGGCCACAAGCACCAGAAAACCTTGCTACAGAGAACTCAGCAAGGCTGACACAGGTCATGGGCCACATGGCACAGGAATCACACAGCATTTCCACCTGAAACAGAATCATTAAAATTAGAATCAAATACAAATACAATACATTGTTCAGTATGACATCAAATGGATTTTTAAAGAAGGCAATTGGACTTCTTAGGTTTCATGATCACACTGGTACACCAGATCACTGTGTGTGTGTGTGTGTGTGTGTGTGTGTGTGTGTGTGTGTGTGAGAGTGAGTGAATGTGCTTGCGTGCATGCATGTGTGTGTGTGTATGTGTACGTGTGTGTGTGTGTGTGTGTGTGTGTATGTGTGTACGTGTGTGTGTGTGTATTTGTGTGTGTGTGTACATGTGTGTGTGTATTTGTGTGTGTGCGTGCGTAATCCCACCTGAAGCTCCAGGCACTGATCCAACATCATGCGCCGCTGGACCCAAGCCTTCTCCAGGTCCGCCCGCTCGCGGTCCAGAGCCTCCAGCTTCTGCTGGATCTCAGGACTGGCGTAGTGCCCTCGAGCAAGCAGCTGCTGGCCAAACTGCTCGAAGGCCTGGAAGGTCCCAGCCCGAGCGTCGATCTCCGTCCGGTGTTCCTGCAGGAGGAAGAGAGAGTCAGAGGAAGTGATCCGGTTGCATCGGAAGCATTTTACAGAACCGGGCAGAAACCTGATGGCGTTCTAAAAGAGCCTCGGCTCCCGTCACGTCTTTGGCCAGCTCATCGGAGGACACCAAGCCCCGGATTCCGTTAATCCATGACATCAGGTCCCTATGAAGAACCACAGCTAGTCAGGAACCACTCCTGGACTGAACCCAGTACAGGCTCCGCCTCCAGCTCACCTGAAGTCTGACAGGAAGCGCTGCAGGTCGTGAGAGTTCCCCAGCTTCTCCTTGCACTGGTTGGCCCGACCCACCAGGCTGCTCCAGGCCGTGTTCAGCTCCGTGCATTTCTCCTGGATGTCATCCACAGCCTCAGGGTGGGACTGGATCAGGCGTTCTGCTGTCTCTCCCAGAGACTTCACCTGTGGAGTCACCAGAACCATGAAGAACGTGTCTCCAGAGACAACCCGGGTCCTGGTACCGATCAGGAAGCGGACCTTATCACCCAGAGCTGCCAGGTCACGCTCAAAGCCTTCATGTTTACGCTGCAGAGCCTGAACGCTGGCCAGGTCGTGGCCGTAGTTGTCTGTGTTCAGGGCCTGGTTCTTCTCCTCGATCCACTCTTTGGTCTCATCAGCGTCTCTGAGAAGACATCAGAACTCCGTCTGAGTGTGGGTCCAAACTCTACTGACCCGTAAGCGGCGCATAAGTGTGCGGGGTACCTGTGGAAGCGCTGCACCTCATGGGCGCTGCCCAGCATGTTGCTCCGGTCTTCAGCCAGCTGCTGCAGCGAGAGCCAGCGGTTGGTTGTTCAGCTCCTGGAGAGAAACCAAACCCAGTGAGATGAAGGTGGACGCCAGCGGGCTAGACGCCGGACGAGGAAACCTGGAGACGGATCGTTCAGACAGGAAGGGAAGAGCTTCCTCTTACCTTGATGGAATTAGTTAGCCGTCGTCTGAACGCCCAACCGTACGGTCTGAGGTCAAAGGTCACAGGAAACACACACCAGTCAGCAGTCATATAGATGCATAAAGATAATTGTAGCCATGGCAACCAGCTGACATGTCCCCACTTTCACCAGCACCTGGTGCCTGCCGGGTCACCTGAATTCCTGTGTGATGTCAGCACGGTCGGCCGTGACTGCGGCCATCAGAGGTGACCTCTGATCAGCTGAATGAACTCACCTTCCAGGGTGACGCCGTGTTAGAGTCGGCTTCATCCTGTAAACAAACAAACAAACAAATGAGTGGTAACAAAAACACCACGTCTGGTTCTGGTGGAGGCGGAGGACAACACGCACCTTTCCAGGAGCAGAACCCAGATGTTCTTGTTGCTACAAACAGAGACGAGCAGAGTTAACAAACCAGGAAGTGAGAAGGACCAGCTGCTGCAGACAGGTGACGCTCACCTGAGCCTGAACCATAGGAGCCTCCTCAGCAATCAGACCTTCTGACTCCAGTTCAGATGCCACCTTGTTGATGTCCCTCAAGCGGGACTCGTTGGCCTTCAGGTCCTGCAGGACAAAAGCACCTGCTGATTATCACCTGAGCTGATCTGACAGCTGCTGCTGGAAGACGGAGAGGAGGAAAAGTCCGACCTTCTGGAAGTCGTAAAACTTCTTCTGCAAGACCTCGACCTGCTCCAGGTCCGAGCCGACCTCCTCGTTGGTCAGGGCGCCCTCCTTCTCGTTGATCCACTGCTGCAGCTCGTTGGCTTCACGGAACAACATGAACTTCTTGCAGCTCTTCTCCAGCATGTCCTTACACTTCTCTCCGAGCTCCAACAGAGTCCCGTACCTTCAGAGGGGGAGAGGACGGGTCAGCGCGAGACGGACGGAGTCGGCCAAAGACCAGGAAGGAAGTCTCCAGCAGGATTCCCGATCCCACTGGAGTCTTCAGCAGGATCAGGATTGTGGGTTTTTTTCTGAAGCCCTTCAGACAGACTCTAGATGAGACACTAGCCGTCCGGCACCGACCCAAACGTGATCTAGTGCTGAGGAAGCCTGGGATGAGACAGATCTTCTATCCTGTTAGGGATCAGAAGATGGGAAGGGGAGGGGGTGCTGGGGGTGGGCGGGGTTACTCTGCTGCTGCTGATGACGACATAACGGTACCACCACAACATGGATGGGGTCTCTGCTACTCACAGCTCTTCCACCTGCTTCATACGCACAGACACGCTGCAGGTCTCCTTGGTGACCAGCCTGCAGAGCAGCAGGCAGCGAGACCGGGTCAGGAGGTTAGAGCAGACAGAACAGAACCAGGAACCAGATCGTTAGAACAACAACATTCACAGGAAGTAGGCACCTGTGGCCACCACCTCAGAGCAGAAGCTGTTAGTGAGCCAAAAGAAGAACAGCAGGCGTCTCTTACTGGTTCTCGATCTGCTCCTGCCGGGCCGCGATGCTGCCATGCTCGTCCAGAAGGTTCTCCCTGGAGGACGACTGGGTCGGGTCCAGCTTCTTCACATAGGCAGCCGGAACGAAGCCCTGACGGTCGTTCACCTCAACCTTCCACCAGTCCTGAGACACACACCGCCATTAACTGGCTGAAGCATCCAAGCACACACAACCACAGGCTCCGCCCACAACACTCGACAGGCGTTTGCTCCTCCCCTGACTCGTGTGGACAAAAGCCGTTTCACACACATTTCCTGTTTTCCACGCCCGTCTCTCCATCCTCATTCAGCTAAAGACGCGAGTTCAAGTAAAACAACCTAAAGTCACACAAACTCAAAGCAGGTGTGGAGATGGTCGCTCTGAGCTGGAGGTCGTTCCTCGGCTGTGAAGGGCACACGAACCTTGTTGGTGCTGTTGAGCAGCGTGAGGATGTCGCCCTTCTTCATGGTGACCTCTCGAGGACTCTTCTCCTGGTAGTCGTACAGAGCCAGAACCAGCTCCTTCCCGGTCTCATCGTCAGTTGGAGCCACTTGTTGCTGTCGGGTTAACAGGTCTGGTGTTAGAACGTGGTGGATAAGAATGTTCTGACGGGCCGAGGGTTCTGAACTCACCCTGCAGGACTGGGCCTGCTCCTTCAGAGCCTGGATGCTGCTGCCGTAAGCCGACAGGTCCGACATCAGGGCCTCGTGCTTCTTCAGGAGAGCCTGTGGAGCAGAACATCAGAACCTTCAGCTCGTCTGACACAAGTGGAGCTTTCTCGCAGCGATGGTCCAATCGGATCCGCCACCGTAAAACAAACCCTGCTCAGTTCACCGCAGACGCAGCTCTGCGGGTGTTTAGTGGAAAAGCGTGAGCCTTCTGCCGGCTGCCACGTGTCATGGCTGCTCTGCAGCGGGAACACACATCACAGCTTGTAAACCGTTTGAAATAAGAGCGACGGGAACACATTTGTCATCACTTCCTGTGCGAGGCCAGCACTTCTACCCCTATCCCATGAGACGCTCAAACGAGCAACGACGTCTGGTAGACAACCGAAGGAAATGACAAATACAGAAACACTAATTATGAAGGACTGGAAAGAGAGCAAAGAAAAGCGATTGGAGTTTCTCAGGAAGGGACTTCCATACCTCGGCCGAGTCCTCGTCTTTCCCGTAGTCTGGACTTCCAACGATGGGCTCCTTCTCCCTCATCCAGGACTCGGCCTCATTAGCATCCGCAAAGTACTGCTGGGCCTGCAGAGAGTCCTCCAGGTCCTGCCTCCTATGGGACGCCTTGGCCTTCAGCGTGTCCCAACGTCCATGAAGCTCCGACAGTTTAGTCTTCACTTCCTCACCAGCGAAGTGACCTGGACCCAAACAAAGTGAGCCAGAACCTGCAGACACCTCAGAAACATGTCAGGACCAGACCTGCTCTACCTTCTTCCATTATGGTCTCTCCTTTCTGGGTGACAGCCTTGATGCGAGAGGTTCATGACCTGTGATCTCAGCCTGCAGAGCCTGGTGCTTCTTCAGCAGGTTCTTGACACCAATCAGGTCCTTCCCTGAGGACACATGTTAGAGTTCAGCATTATGCAGTAGACAGACCATTTTAACCCAGGGGTTTCTTTCTTCTACAATCTGCTCTTTAACTGCATTATTTCCTGCTATTTCAGCTGTTAACTTTATTTTTTCTCTAAGTGTTTTTCTCCCCAGAAGAAGCTACAATGGTGTTCTGCTGAGCTGTGGTGGCCTCATGGAGGGGGCCATTGTCTAGCACACTGCTGCTAACCACTTAATCATTCTCCCTCTCCTGATAATAACTTTTTACTTTCTTTGATGTTGGATGTGCTAATACTAGTTTACCCGTTTAATTATAGATTCACTAGGATAAATACAATAAAGTTTATCTCTCGCCAAATAGAATATTTACTAAGAAATCTCAATGTAACGTGTGTGTGTGTGTGTGTGTGTGTGTGTGTGTGTGTGTGTGTGTGTGTGTGTGTGTGTGTGTGTGTGTGTAAAAGCCATGTGTAGTGTTTATTTATAAAGCATATGTTGTTGGATTTTATCCAGAATCGAGACTTTGAAAATATATAGTTTAATTACAGTTTGATTTATTTGACATCTGTATATTGTTTATTATTTTGTTTTTTCCCCCTAAATACCTAACGTTTTAGTTTAACATGAATATTAGTCATTCATCCCAATACATAAAGTTACACATTTTAAATTTTAATAGGGGAAGACTGCAGGAGGGAGCGGTAAAATACAGGGGGTCCCCAGCAAAAACAAACTTTACGAGTCTGATTAAACTTGCTGGTGTTCCCGCTGCTTCTTCGGTAAACAGCGCAAACAAAAACAAAGAAACTCGGGATGTTGTCGGCGTGGAGGTGGGATTTAAGGGAAACGCTGTATGCCCTATAGACTTCTCAACGAGCTGCAGTATTTCTCCGTTCAGATCTGTCTCCGAGTTCGAGAGCTCCACGAGCGGTCAGCCCGCAGCAGCGAGGCGCCGCATCGGTCAGGCTGCCCGGCCTGACTACTGGGGATTACCGGATGAAAGAATGGAGCACAGAAGTGTCCCTCCAAGCGGCGCGCTCCGTCATATTTCAACCCATTTTTATCTTAAATGCACTGGGTTTTACCCTTTTACCCATCAAAATATGCCCTATTAATTATTTTACCGTATTTTACATTTAAATTTCATGGTTAAACAGTACATGCTACATGTTAAACTGATAGTTAGCTAGCTACTTCGGTAAACTCAGCTAGTTTAAAGGCAGCAGTGACATAAAATACAAATATAGATTTTAACTTACCGAAAAAAAATGAAGTGGCGACTCCTTGGACGCTCTATTAGTGCAATTAATACCACAGCAAGTCATTTTGTCCAACAATTGCACCAATATTATCCAAAACAGAATTCACAAGCACAGAGACTCAAAATCCCCACACAGTTTCCAGGAGAGACCGAGGCTGTACTTAGGCCTTTCCACGGAGCTAGCTCTGTGGTCACGTGGGTCTGAGGCGGCGGTCACGTGGGTCTGATGCTCATTAATTATACAGAATTTTAGGCTTTTAATACACAAACAGAAGAGTGAGAAAAAAATTCACCCCCCTCAGAGTTGTCATGAGTATAAACTAGATAATTTAGACAAAAAACATGTTTTGGAACCAGGCTGTAAACATGTTTATTTCTGCTGTGAAATCGGCATTTTTAACATGGGAGTCAATGAGGATTTGCTCGCTTCTGACACCAGCCCCCAGCGGATGAGGGTGGAACTGCAATTTCTCTTACTTCCGGGTTGGGACCATTTTTAGAGACGCATTGTGGGGGCTTGGTCTGACCCCAACAGGTTTTGCGTTACCACCCATCCCCACGTGCTTCTGGCAGCTCGTCCACATCCAGTGTCTTTGTTATCCAGACTTCTTAATGAGAGAGCTACATTTCTTTTTAAAGGTTTGGAAAAGTTTCTTCTTCTGACGCTGGGGTTTCAGATTTAAGTCTTTCTTCACTTGGTTCTCTGACTGAGACAAACACTCCTCTGCCTCGACTAACTTTTCAGATTCTGTGTGTTTAGCTTTTAGATACAGGAATTGTTCGTGAAGGACTTGATTTAGGACCTGGTTTGTTGTAAGTTTCTCCGTTAAATGCTCAACATTCTCCTCCAAGCGTTCATTATCCTCAACCAGAGCGCTAGTAACTTCTAGAAACTCCTCAGTTTGGCATTCAAGGCTGCTAATTTTCTCACAGGCATAATGGAAGTCCAAAACGCTTTGATCCAAAGCTATTTTCTGAATTTCCACGTTCTCTCGACTCTTCTCCAGGTCTATGGTAGTGTGTTTGAGTTTCTCTTCAAAGTCTTTGTTTTTTTCAGAGAGGGAGCTGTTTAAATCGCGCAGGAACCTACGCTCATATTCAGAACCATCGAGTTTAAAACGTGTGGCTTGGAGCTCCAGAGTCTGTTCTTCTAGTTTCTCCTCTAGTTCTCGAACTTTCTCGGTTTTCTGAGATAACTTGTTGTTAAAAAAGGCAAGTTTTCTCTTCAGATCCCCAACTTGGTCACGAAGTAACTTATTGTCTTCCCTCTCCTTCTCAAAGTCCAATTTAACGTTCTGGAGTTTAAGACTTTGTTCTTCCATGACTTTGTGTTGTTTTTTCAGATGTTCCAGTTGGTTGTTGAATTTTTCATTAAAATTGAGAAACAATTTCTGATTTTCCTCTTGCAGTGAAGTGATTTTTTCACGTAGAAAGTGATTTTCTTCTAAAAGGTCCTCTTTTTACTTTTGGATCGGTTTAGTCTTCCAATTTCTAAACGTTTCTATAGTTTTACGAAGGTCTTCCACAATTTTATGGAGTCCTTCATTGTCTTGTCGAAGGCTACCATTCTCTTGGCTGAGAGAATCAGGAGTACCAGTTTGGTCTTGAAGACCAGTGTCTCTCCTTCTTCTTGCTGTTTGGAACAGTTTCATTGTTCTCATTTATTAGGTTCAAAACAAAAACGTGCTCTAACAGGGTATGTGTTCACAGCGGTGCGTCTCTAGAGATGTGATCTGTAGAACTGGTGAGATGAGCACAACAACATGCATATAGGCATCAAAGTGATGATGATGATGATGTCATAAAGAGCATTCTAGAACTTGCTGCATGTCCTTTGATTACAGCAGATTGCATGGTAACATCCAAATAAATGAATAATGCCCAGCATGCAGAATAAATCAAAATACAAATTTTGATCCTTCGATGACTTCATCATTGTGACAATATAAACTCACATACATGCGTATTTACAAATACACATTATTTTACTAGGGGTGGGAGTTGATTAAAAATTATCTAATGAATTAGAGGTTTTGTAATTAAATAATCTAAATAATCACATCTTAATCATTCATGTAAATGTGCGCTCAAAGCAAATTTTTTTACTAAAAATAATCAGGCAGAGAATCAAACACTAGACATGGATATTATTACTGTAAACTCAAGCTTCATTTCTAAAAAATGCATTTTAATTTTTCAAATGTCACTTTGTGATATGAAACAAGTCACAAATCAACATGGATTAATAATTGCAAATAGAAAACACCTGAAACTGGTTCCTGGCCATATTTTACTTGGGGTGGGAGTTGATTAAAAAATTTATCTAATGAATTAGAGGTTTTGTAATTAAATAATCTAAATAATCACATCTGAATCATTCAGGTAAATGTGCGCTCAAAGCAAATTTTTAATTACTGAGATAAATGGACTTTTGCACCATATTCAATTTTTTTCAGTTTCACTTGTTTGTATAATTGGGTGTTTTATTTAGCATTTCTATTTCTCATAATGTAGTAAATGCATATCTAGAAATAAAAATCCTTAAAAATGAGACTTGAACAGGCACAAATATGATGGAGGACTTAAACTTTTTTAACGCCTGAGTGTTACAGGGGGACTAAAGAGATGATCAGCAACACTAACTGGTTCCAGTTGGATGACTGGAGGATGACCGGAAGATAAAAGGTCATGAAGAGACTTTAATGTTGCATAAATGTAAAAGAATTAGCTTACCTGGACTTTTGTAAAGCTCTCTAACCCTAACCCCCAAAAGGGTGTATGATGCTTGTTCAATTCCATTGACTTTTTTCAAGTTATGTGCCTACTTATTACTGTGTGGTGTAATAATGTCAGTAGAATAACTAGATAAATGAGCTTTCTGGCACAAATGCTGTTTAAAAGCTGGTTACTGAAGAGCTGAGCAGATCCATCAGGGTATAATGTGTCAGGGGTTTAGAAATGTGGGTGGGGGGTGAACTGGAGCACCCAGAGAAAACCCCCCATGCAGCACAAAGAGACAGAAATAAATTGATCGGGTGATCTTTTTCCTGTGAGATAATCCTTGTGCTGCATTTTTTTTTACTCCATGGTGGACGGAGTAGATCCTAGATAGAAACACCTCCTGACTGCATGTCTGACCCCAACAGGTTTTGCGTTACCACCCATCCCCACGTGCTTCTGGCAGCTCGTCCACATCCGGTGTCTTTGTTATCCAGACTTCTTAATGAGAGAGCTACATTTAGTTTTAAAGGTTTGGAAAAGTTTCTTCTTCTGATGCTTGGGTTTCAGATTTAAGTCTTTCTTCACTTGGTTCTCTGACTGAGACAAACACTCCTCTGCCTGGACTAACTTTTCAGATTCTGTGTGTTTAGCTTTTAGATACAGGACTTGTTCGTGAAGGACTAGATTTAGGACCTGGTTTGTTGTAAGTTTCTCCTTTAAATGCTCAACATTCTCCTCCAAGCGTTCATTATCCTCAACCACAGGGTATCCGCGGGTCCTTAAAAAGTCTTAAATTAGCTTTTCCAAATTTAAGGCCTTAAAAGTCCTTAAAAATGACAAATAATCCTTAAATACAGTTTCCAAAGGTCTTAAATTGCCAATGACCCAATAAACAAGATTCTTTTATTTCTATAAAATGTTCGTGAATTTCTAGTTAGTGTTCGGCATTGTTTGTGTATGATATTGGCATTAGCGGAACCGTACACATTCAGTTGGTTGTGGAAGGGGGCTATTTTTAGATGAGCACATTAGCTGTTTAAGCTAGCGGGAGCTTTTCTCCATGGGGAAGTGC